ATTGTTTACAATTTTTGAATGGAAAAAACAACCTTATCGAATTTTTCTTATTTAAACACATTGTAAAATATCCGATCTTGAAAATAAAAAAAAGTTTCAATATCTAAAGTGGTTCTTGAGTTATGGCCAGTTATATGTTAAAAAGTTGAGTTTTTAAATTATCAGGATTACTGACGTTTTCTAGTTATAAAAAAATGACACCTTAATGATATCCTTATAATTCTATTTCAGATGCTCAGTAAACATTACAAACCTAATAATTTTATCTAGTTATCTCTTGATAAAAAAGTCTTTTAAAAATAAGCGATTTGCTATCGTGATTTTACTTTACTTGATAGGGAAAGGCGTATCGGCAACGTCGCAACAGCACACCGTCGCGCGTCGCCTCGGTCGGTCGCATTTCTCTCACTCCGACTTAATAAGATCCCTATGCGATTTATTTCCACACATGTAAATGCCGACCCAAAAGTAACTGTTGCCAGCACGGTATCATAGGACTAAACAGTTTTATCAGTGGCGTAACTATCGATGTGCCATGTGTGCGAAGAACACGGGCCCGAGCCCCTCGGGGGGCCCGCGCCGCATTTCCATATCTATCACATGCTATCGCAAATCAAGCAGAATCCTTCTGTTTCTGATGAGAATATATATGAAATGGGTCAGGTTCTATACCTTAAATACCCCGATGATATTGACTATACGATTTCTTCTCAATTACTCTCCTTCAGGCAATGTTTCCGAAATAATTTATATGAAATCAATTGCATTTTTGAACTCACTGAATTTATTTGAATTAAAAACCTTTCATCGTCTTCTAGTTTCAGCGAGATTTTAACAGCGTGTCATATTTTTCTCACCATACCTGTTTCTGTGGCCTCGGCTGAAAGATCTATTTCCAAATTAAAGCTTGTCAAAAATTATTTAAGAAATACTATGGGCGAAAAACGGTTATCAGCTTTGGCAATTATTTCAATGGAAAATAAAGTTCCCCGGACAATAGACATTGGTAATATTGTGCCAACTTTCGCCTATGCTAAAGCAAGGAAAAAATAATTTTAAGATGTTCGTGTTCCTATTTACATCGTTTATTTTAATTTAGTTAGTTTTGTTGTTGTTTTTTGTTTTATTTTTATGTATTTTTTTATTTATTTGATAGTTTATATGTTTTGGGTTACATATTCTGTGTTGCAGTAATAAATAATACTATATAAAAATTAATTAAATGTTATAAAATATGAGTGCATATTATTCAGATTAGTATATAAGTATTGAAATATGTAGGTGTAATAGGGGGCCCGGTAAAATTTTTGCACACAGGCCCGCGAGTCTGTTGTTACGCCACTGAGTCTTATTGCCCTGCAGAGTTTATACATTTTGCAGGGACCAGTTAAACCTACCATAATATTGTAAAACCCTAAAATTAAGAAGTTAGCGCTTATCATGGTTTTCCCCTGGACCCTTTATTTTTGATAATAATTTAAAAATGTATCGATATTTAAACCATCGATATATCGTTCTCCTTCCTAGCAGCAAGCTTTTTGAAGCTAGATCATTAAGGTGTCTAATAAAATTTTCAATACTTTCAATGCCTATTTGTACTACTAACCTATTTAAAAGTAATATTGCTTTAGGTTTATTTGTATTTGAGTAAAAATGACAATAATTGATTAGGTCATTGACATATAATTACATATATAACTTTTTTCAGTACTAATACCGTACGATCGAAAAAACGGCGTCCAGTTGGCTGGTAAATGACAATCGATGACATTACCCATACAAATTTACATATAAAATGACAGCGATCTTAATTTCATAGCCATCACTCCCGCCGTTTTTTTTTTCGATCATACGGTACATTGTATGCTTTTTGTGAGAAATTTTTACTTGGACGTTGTGAATAAACTCCTATTTGTGTAATTGCTAATTATTTTTGACGATTAGCTTAAGATAAGATCAAATATTTCTATACAGGGTGTTCCTTAATGACATTCTAATATTTAAGGACTTGGTTTTTGGACCTATTCTGAGATAAAAACTTCATGTAAATGTACATACGTCCTAAACATCTTAATTACTGAGATACAGAGTGGTAGTGTTTTCTAAAAAACTTTTTTTTCATAATAACTCTGATTTTATTACAGATGTCTTTATGAAACTTGATACACGTCTTCTATGCATAAAAACACCTTTTTTGGTGTACAAAGAATTTTATTTATTTCAACCAGTGCCGTCCATGCGGGTTTTACATCGAATAATTTTGAAGAAAAAAGTGGTACACCACTGACTTCTCTTAAAATAAAAATTATTTTCAAAATCTCCATTCATTGCTAAACATTATAAGATGTCTGTCTCTTGATTTTTTTGTCCGACGCATAGCTTTTGCTTAAAAAATTAAAGTCAGTATAAAAAAAATTAGAAAATTTTACCACCCTGTATGTAAGAAGTTAAGATGTTTAGGGCATATTTATATGCATATGAAGTTTTTTCTTAGAATAGGTCCAAGAATCACCTCCTTAAATATTAGCATGTCATTAAGGAACACCCTGTATAATAGAGTTGATTTTTAGAACACTGTGTATATGTAAATCATAGATAAAAAACATTATTCTTTATATTATCTATTCTTAATAAAACGGTCTTTAGTTTTAAAACATCCCTAACCACATATTTTCTGGAATAGAATATTCTTACAAACATTTTTCTATATAATTTTCTTTCCTCAGATATGTTGCTAATAGCAGTAATTTAAAAAAAAATTGTCTCCCACCGTGATTTTCAATTTTTTTTATTCCTGAATTTCTTTGTGTGAAGAATAAACTTATTTAAGAAAAACTTAAGCCTTTATCACACGTTTTTTTAGTTACGGAATAACTAGTTTTGCTTATACAAGGTCCGGCAATAGTGCGTCGGGCATCTGTAGCTCCTAGAATAAAAAACGTGAGGCTTTTGTTTAAGTGAAAACTTAGTGATAACTTAAAGTATGTACCAGGATGTACTTCGGGAAAATATTTTAACAAATTTATTAAACATACAAGAACTGTCCTGAAATCAAAACCATATTAGGTATTTACTTACTAGAGAGTCCGTACTTACTTTGCTATAGATATGGTAATTGTAAATCATACAGGATCTTCAAAATTCCACGCCACGTTTTAAAAAAAATACTTTTTTTTTTAAATGCTTTTTTTTAAATGGAACACCCTATATATTATTTTTTAACAGATGGAGAACTAACAAATAAACAGTTTTTGTATTTAGAGTATTTCAAAAATTTTAATGGTTTTGCAGATACACGCAGTATAATTTTTTTTTATCTACAACCGTTTAGTTATAACGTTTTTACATCACTATTGTTTTAGTATTTCAGTTACGTTATGAGATTCATAACACAACTAGTGGTGTTATGAATCTATAACACAACTAATTTTTATAATAATGAAAAACAACTACGAACATCTAAATATATTAATTTTTGATACAAATTCCTACTACCATTTATTATAAATATTAATAACACATTTTTTACACTTCTTCAAAACAATTCCTGCTGCTGATGATGATGACGGTGATAATAGTGAAGGTCTAACTGAAATAGATTGGGCTGTTGATCGGTTTGGCTGGCACTCGGGCTGGCCATGCTTCCTCGGCGATTCTTGATCCCAAAATGTGCTGCGCAACAATTTTCTTGTTTTCTTTTGATGTATCTATATGTATATCCCTCTGCGACGGAACTACTTCTCCAACCTCCATGCGCCGACAATTATAATTAAAAAGATGTGACAAATGTCATAGTTAAAGGTGGGCGAGTAATAAACGAAAATTAAAACAGTATTTTCTTATTTTTCGGTTGTAGATAAAACGTGGTACATGACACGTGCGTTTAAACATGATTACAACACTCGTGTGATTAGAACGACTTTGTCTACGACCTCGTCGTTCTAACCGTTCACACTCGTTGTTGTAATCATGTTCATAAACACACTTGTACTGTAAATAACTAATATAACGGTAAAATATGAGAGAAAAATCATTGGGTGGCTTTGATATAAATTTACTGTGGAAAATGCCATATGAAATATAAAACTGAACTAAAAAAAAATTGAAATAATCCAAATACAAAAAATGTTAATTTCTTAATTATTCTCCATCTACTGAAATAATAATATACAGGCTGTTCGATTTACAAAAACGAAGAAAAGTTATTATTAAATTATATTTTAGAAAGTTTGGCATAGAAAATTGAACATCCTGTATGATTTAAGATTATGATGTTTATAGCAAACTAAGTATAGACCATCTAAAGTAAATATCTAATATAGTTTTGATTTGAGGACAGCTTTTGTATTTGTAGTAACTTTTTTAAGGAAGGTTAAAAAATATATATTTTTTATTTATTTATTAGTATCTCTAAAATTATCGAAATATATTTACTCTTATTATATTATCTTATAAATACTACTTACTACCTTAGAATTATGTAAAGTGATCTGAAATAAAACCAAAAATGCAATAATATACGGGGTGTTCCATTTAAAAAATATAATTCCGATCCACTCACAGTTTTCCAGCCACCTATAGAAGTTAAAATATTTTCCTGAAATACATACACTTAAACAAAATTCTCAAGTTTTTTATTCTGGGAACTACAAATACACGACTCACTATTGCCGGAGCCTGTAGTTAATAAATGAAGTGTAAACCAACCTTAAGGAGATGTTTTTCTTTTTTTCCTTTCGCATATACATATATTAACTTACATGCAAAAAATTCTGAATTAGTTATATTTTCCTTTGTCCACCATCATGTCCACTTCATACAAATCATATTTCCAATCTGATTTTGTAGGTTTAAAATGGTTCGCTGGCTGGTTAGAAAATGAAAGTACCACCCGCTTATGGTACAGAATTTATTTCTCTATAATCAATGGGTTTTTCATCACTTTATTCAACTGCATCGTTCTCACATGCTGGCTGATTAACATCAGCAATATCCGAACCATGGCAGCAATAGGATATGTCATGTTCACCTGTCTCATGGCCCAACTGAAGTCGTACTATCTCTTCAAAAACCGAAAAGCATTCAGAAAACTGGTACTAGATTTAGATCAAGCTACGTTCAAGGAAAAGAATAATGCAGAAAAAGTAATAATAAATAATGTTTTGGGGCTGTTCTGGAACATAAAAACAGCCCTTATTGTGGTCAGTTTCGTCGCAGTACTATCCTCGGTCTCAGTACCACTATTTTATCCAAAAGAGACAGGAATGCCGATACAAGCTTGGTATCCTTTTGATGTTTCAGAGGGTACTAGCTATGTTTTAGCCTACCTTCACCAGGCTGTGTCAATTATTTATATTTCTGGTGTAAATATATATGTGGACGTGATTGTAGCTGGGTTTTGTACAATTATTGGGCTGCAATGTGATCTTCTTTGTGAAAGAATATTGATGTTGGGTGAGAATGAAGATGACAGAAGGAATAAAGATAATTTTGTGAATTGTATTCAGCATCATTTCACTATTTTGGAGTAAGTTAAAAGTTGTTTTGTCAAAAAAAAAATAATTACAAAATATTTTGTACGATCGTACAAAAAGTAGCTAGTTTTTACACTATTTACTGTAATTAAAAGTCATTTATAACGGTCAGTGATAATATAAAATCTATGTTGAAGTAACGTCAGACATATCACAGTCACCTAGATTTTACCAAATAATAAATATCTACAGTCACTAAATCATAAAAATGAAAATATCCAGGAAAATCTTTGTTTGAAGGGTAGGCAACCTTAATAGTATTTTAAAGAAACATAAATTTCCCATTGAATATCGAAATAATATACTGGGTGTTCTATTTAAAATAAAAGAGTAACTTGCTTTTAAATGTGACCAATTTCAATATTAATTATGCCTCACCCTGTATAACTTTTTAGGTCAAGTTTTAATTTCATTTAGAACACAATGGTTTTTTTAACTATATATTAGGATATACCGGGCAAATTCCAATTTAAGTAGCTCTCATTGAAATTTAAAAGTTGTTCTTCATTTTTAGAAAATGTTAAATATGTCAAAAACCTTACATTTTAGCCATATACTTCTCTAATGGAACTCGCCTTTATTTTTTTTCTAGAATCCGAAAATCAATTAATATATAGGTTGTTCCATTGCAAAAAACAAAACTTTGATGTGTAACTTTTTTTTGTGACACCCTGTAGAACTCTTCTTCTTCTTTACGTGCCGTCTCTTTCGTGGAGGTTGGCGATCACATTGGCAAAATCTTCACGATTCTCGGCTTTCCTTATAAGTTCTTCAAAAGTTAGGTGAGTCCAGTTTCTGATGTTTCCCAACCAAGATAGTTTCTTCCTGCCGAGACCTCTCTTTCCTTCAATCTTACCCTTAACTATCAATTGTAAGACGTGGTATTTTTCATTTCTCAATATATGCCCTAAGTATGATGTTTTTCTTATTTTTATTATATTGAGCAATTCTCTCTCTCTGCCTATTCTGTTGTAGACTTCGGTATTTGTGATATGGGTAGAACTCACTATAATTTTAAAAAATGCTCTAAACTAACCTACATATGCTCGCAAAATTTCATTTCAATACAAACTGTCGTTCTCCTTGGAGCCTCGGCGGCGTATGAGAGACGCCACCCTGTATATTGTATTGTGATTTATATAATTTTGTGATATTATAATTTAATAATATTTTTTTTGATAATCTTAGATTCTTGAAAACCACAGAACATGTATTTGGTCAAATCTACTTTGGACAAATTTTTGCAAGTACCTTGGCCCTTTGTATGGATTTATTCTTACTCAGCTTGGTACTACAATAAAATCCCGTATTTTTAAAAAGTAAACAGTCTAATCAAAAATACTTTTTTTAGACCGAACCAAAAACTTTTGAATTTTTCTACTTGGTAGTTTATCAAGTAGCCATCACCAACCTTCTGTTTGTACCGTGCTGGTTCGCCACAGAAATGACAAGAAAGGTATCAAAGTATATTTCTCAAAAATTAAATATTTTTTTGTGAAAGCGTTTCGAAATTGACAGTTTTTGATATTTATTTGAGATTCGAAATGACATTCTTTTAGGCACTAGTATCTAAAAGTGACACTTATTTAGGCACTAGCAGAGAGAACACTAATAACTAAAGTGAGAGGGCTTGTGGAATAGGGCATTTCGTAGACAAGTTTATTTTGTCACCACGCATCCCAGACGCGCATAGCATTTAAGCGGCGCGCAAACCAGAGCGGCGGCGGGCGCGGTGGCGGATGCGGAGGCGTTGCGGACAGTATTGGTACATGTAACTAAATTGAAGAGAGCACACTACTGCGATCTGGTGAACGCGCCCGCCTTTTCTTGCAGCGAACTACCGCGTGGAACTTTGCGGACGGCGGTACAGCAGATTAGAACGCTGCATGCACCATTTGCCCGCCAGTTCGCACGATATTTAACAAGTAGAATCACCCTCGTTATCATGTGTAATACAGAAAAAAAATATTGAAAAAGTGGGTGTGCAACCAATTTTATATGATTTATCTAATAAAGCCAAGAGTAATAATATATTGTTTTATTAAGAGTAAAACTGATACTTTTCGTGGCGAAGTTATACGTTTGACGCGTAAAAATGCTTTAAGGCTGGTTTACATTGGTGTGACAAAACTTTCCAGATTTGTCCGTTAACATGGTAGTGTGGCCTTTATATAATTATAATTAAAATAATTTATTGAGCGGTAGGCAGAACTTGGATAATGAGAACACCGACTTTTCAGAGCGTAAATATAGTTTATCGTTTACATATAAAAACAAAATATAACCAGTTAAAAATAGAAATTAAGGCATCGCACTTTTATGGTAAGGGCTCTTTCTAAATTCAGTTATTATAAACTCTATTGCCACTTACCTTATTACGTCAACATCCGTCAGCATTTCATCAACAACAAAAACCTGTCGAATATTTCATTGATCCCCTTGTAGATTTACCTCTTCGGTCTTGGACTCATACTTTGGATTGAACCACTCGACCGGTTATCACAGTGTTCTTTTAAATAACTTAATATTTTAGTGATTAGGTGAAATAAAGAAATAAAATGCCGATTTTTCACAACACCTAACTATATTTAATATAAAGAAATAAATAAATAAAAAAATAAAGAAAAAGATTTAACAACAAAACATTTATAATTAATGAAAAAGAAAGAAATTGAATCAAAAATAATTAATGACAATTAGAGAATTGAAATTAAAACTCAGAGATAATAAAGTTAAATAAAAAAATACAAAATATTCTTCTTATTAGTCCAATTTAAATTATCAACAATTAGCATACACTTTCAAATCTCTCTTAGAATTATCATTGGCAGAAAATTAATATATTAAAAAAATATTCACTGAACAATTAAATTTAAATTAGAATTTAATAAAAAGAACAATTGCAAAATAATCACTTATGCAATGACATCTAAAATTTACTAAAGCCTTTAGAACAAACAGAAAGTCTTAAATCATTAATAAAGAAAAATATTAGAGTAAATCCAAAAACAACAATTAAAATACTGTAAGCATGAATAGCTTAGAATTTCCTAACTTGAGAATTTATTTGAGAAAATCTTTAGATAGAGAACTTACTAAAACAATTAAAAAGACCACTGGATAATATAAGATCTACACGGAGTAAATTCGACCGTCTAATTTAAAAGTCAGTACCGAACTAATTTTGAAGATGAAAATACTGATGCTGGTACTATCTCGGAAAGGCGTTACTACATCTTCGGCACGCCCCTGTTTGAGGAACCTTCGAATACCCATCCAAATGCATATTTTGCACCTTTTTAATTGGCCGAAGGGTTCCTTCCCCGAAAGATCCCTAGACTTCTTTCACCCTTGTTTCTGGTTCTTATCCGAGAGGGCATCAGCATGTCCTATTTATTAATTAAATGTAATTTTTAAACCCTTCCGTGTAAATCTTACTATTTTACCAATTTGCTGGATAATATTCATAATCTAAGCCTTAACTAATACAAATGATATCGTGCCATAGGATTACCTTAGAAAAAAAACTGCCTAGAAATTAACTCTTTATTTCTTCACATTTTTGTCTATTTCTATTTAACTCTAGGAACGGAAAAAAAGATAATCCTATTTCTATCATTTTCAGACATTCATCTCGTGAACATTTGGATTCTGATTTTAAAACATATATTTAATACTTTTAATTTTCAATGTAAAACCTCTAGCGAGGGAATGATTTAATTTTACTTATTTCCTTAAGCATGCCTACGTGCTTTTTCTGCGTTGTTTATTTGAGATATCCCTATGGTACACAACTGGTACCACCAGGCGGATGAAACTGCCATTTGAATTTTGGAAACACGGCGGAGTTTCTGCCAGTAGAGGGATAGATGGCGCTGCGTAGAAATTTAATCTAAAGTCTGCGTAGAAATTTCATCATAAAGTCCCTAGATATTCATCTAGGGACTTTAATTTCATCATGATTTTATCAAGTCATTTACAGAGTATAGTTTAATTAACAATTCGTTTGATTATCTGTGGAGTAATTGGAGTAGTTGGAGTAGTTGAAAAATATAAATATTTATATAAAATGTTGATAATTTAACAGTGATGTGCTTTGCTACCCTATGAATAAACATTGATATGAAGTTGTTTTCGCCAGAAACAATTATTATAATTAAATAATTTAATAAAAATTTAATTTCTAAGTGACCCCGATCAGTTAGATCAGTAAAATAAATTGAAAAATAAACGTCATTCCATATTTGGCAATGTCTGTCAGTTTCTGTGAAGTGGAAGTGAATTGTGATTTGTTTTTATGGGAATATTTTACGGATTTTTGCGAATTTAGAGTATTTTGGACGATAGGATTGTGAAATTTAAAAGCCAAGTAGTTTCATATATAAGATTAATTAATCCCTGTGATAATTTTTATGAAATTTCTCATAATCAAAACAAATTCTTTCAACAAAATGGCTGTCTCAGAAATTTGGAAGATCATTAATTTTAAAGTTTTATTTAAGTGTATTTATATCGAATCAAGAATTTGTATAACATATTAAAAGCTTAATTTTAAAGGTTGTGCAGTAATTTATGTAAGTGTACGCTTTTAGATAAATATTAAATATACAAATTTGCAAAGACAAACAAGTAATTTTAAAAAGATCATTTATTTATTTAAACGAGTATAATCATTAATCATTAGGTTGAAAATATATTTGTATTTACTTATTTATATATTTTCTATACCCTTGTATTATTTATAAGCCCTATATGTCCTGTTTTATTTGAAAAAAAAATGCTTCGAGTCATCGAGAATAGATTTAATAACAATTTTGTCCCTTGGCTTTGTGTATTATATAATGTGAATTGTAAGATGTTTCTATTTGAATAGGTCATTAAAGTTGAGATTAAAGTTATACCAAATTATATTCACGGTAACTATATGTCTTTTATATAATGAATTATTTATTTATAATTTATAACCTTTTTTATAATTACTTATAACTGATTGTATA